ACACCTTTCTGTATGGTCTACCATGACTGAACTTCTTGGATAAGCTAAAGTGTCATGAGTTTTCAGAGTCTGAACATGACACACGTCTAGACACTCTTTAAAAACAATAGAAGATAACAAATGTGTGTCTTACAGTGCTGAGTTTGCTGGCAAAGATGAGGATGCGTCTCTCAAACAGCATGCTGGCGTAGAGCTGGAGCAGGTTCCCCACATCTACTGCCACTATCATCTCAGTCAGGTTCCTCTGGAAAACACAAGCACATGCAATTCAGGTTTAATGGGCTAGGTCTCTAAACTAATTCATTTAACTTTAAATCATTTTTGCTCACATTTTCGGGGATTGAAGGGAGACTTCTCGGGTCTGGAGCGATGAAGTACGGAACCTGGTCATGACAAATGAAATAAACATTAATAAAAACTGGATTTTAATGCAAATGTGTCTGCTTTCAGCTGGCTTTCGAAATCATATGACATGCATGCACAAAAGGTTACAGGATGAGGCTATAGGTTTCATTCCAAAGTTCTGTATCCATTAAATAATGGCTTATTTTGGAATGAAAAAAGTCCATACACACGTATTTGGGATCAGTATAATCAAGGGTTATTTATGGGTTAGGATACATACAACTGTTCAACTGTTCACAAAGGTCAGGCGGGCATTAGTGCAAATCGTGTTAGGTTTGGCTTAAACATTCAATTAGAGAGACGAATGACAACGTTTTAGTCCACACACACGAGGTTTAGCCATCAAGCACAGACAGCTAGAGTTTTCCAGGAGTTAGTCTGTATCCGCTCGGCAGTTCTTCGAGACCACATGAACCCCTGTGGGACTCACCCCCTCTTTTCCCTCTCTGTGTCCATCAGGATGGGACACCTCTGTGCTGACCAAAAGCTGCTCTCCCTCAGAAAAAAAACACAACACGCTAACCACTGACAGGTAAACAGCCAAATAAGTCAAGTGTGACACCATATTGGATATTTAGAGATTTACCATCTGCAGAGTGACTGATCCAGCTGCCAGTGGTAAGGGCTGCTTGTAGAGTGCAGCCAGCAGAGCTTTCATCTCATTGGTCTGTTGAGAACATGATTTTAAGGATACTCATATAAGAGTGTGTTTATTTCAGACAAATAGAGGAGCAGAAAGATAACAGACAAGCAACGAAAACTCACCTGTCCTTTCGAGAGGTAATCAGCCAAGTTGTTGAGAAGTTTGTAAAACACTTCAAACCATGGAAGATAACTGTAAAATCATAATTTTAGAATCATTAGAATAACTATTTTAAAATCCCCTTACACCCACATTTTCTCATTCTCACACAGATGTACCTGAGCATGCAGAGGCAGGTATGTGTGTGGTTGGTGAGACGGCAAAAGCCAAACCGCTGGCATCCTTCAAGGTCAGTCAAAACAAAGGTAAAGTGCTGCACGGCCACCCCCTCCTTCGATCTGTGCAGATAGATGTGGTGAGAGGTTGACGTATAGATAAACAGTGTAACCATGAGTAACAACAGTTTGTACTCACCTTTGTAGGCCTATGTCATACGGGAAGCAGAACCGGGGTAATGTTTGAGAGGACTCCTGGAGAGGGATAGAATTGTGTGTTTCATGTGAACAGTGAAATATCACATGACATGTTGAAAGAGTCAAGCAATGCTAATGGTTATATGAGGCTGCACTTAGGCACATCACTGATAACACATTCACACTGCCAGGCAGATATCATCCAATTAGCATTAGCGATAATGTACAGCTGAGGCTGATGGGATGGTGAGTGTTTTTTGGAGGTATTCGATCACAAACCAAAGTAGCGGAGAGTTAATCTAGGGAACTGTGCACATTTTTTGTCTTGTGACCATAAATTCAGGAAGTACACATCATTTATATCTGGTTGTGATGGAGAGAATCAGAATCAGAATTAGAATCAGAAACAGGTTTATTACCAGGTAGGTTTACACGTACGAGGAATTTGACTTGGTGTTGTGGTGCATACATAAAAGTAAAGCAATAGAATAGAATTACTTCTATCGAATGTTCCCTTGCCTAGAGGACAACATTAGTACAAATTGACTCATCTTACCCCACTCTCCCATATTAGACACGTTAGAAATTTGATCAGAATATAACGCTGCATGAAAATTCATAGCAATGGCAATGTTAATGCATGTATTCAGAGTGGTGGACGGACTGACCCGCAGACTGACTGACATTGCCATCCTAACAGAGGCACGGCAGTAGCATGGCTAAAACAAGCCTCTTCCATCAGTTTAACGCAACAATACATCAACACATATCAAACCATTCCAGGAGCAGAAGACATGAATGGCTACCTCATCGCTGAAGTCCTCTGGGAACTGAAACACAACACCGGGATCTAGGACATAAAAACATTGATGAAATGAACCACATAATACTCCAAAAACATCAGCTACACAGAACATGTAGAGAAGCAAAGTATTTTAGGTGTGTTATAAGGCAACACTGGTTGTAATAGAAAGACGACACATTATTTAAGATGGGCAGTTTAAATAAATGTTGCATGTCAATAAAAAGTATTTATTTAACCCAGCTGCTCAGTCTAAACATAACATGCTTCATCTCATCTAGTGTGACTTTGTGGTTTTTCTGATCACATGACAGGAAGTATGAGCCCTAAGCTCGGCAAAAACACCTTTATACTCACCAAGCATTATTATCTTATCACATCATAATTCATGCGTGTTTTCTAAGTCACCCACATGTCAGATTGTAATTAACAGTCAGATTGTTGTAACATGTCATGCGGGAAAATGACGAGAAGATGGTAAACAAAGTCAGAGGGAAGAGTTTGAGGAACAATTTTAAACAACTTCTCTATTGCTGAAAAATCACTTTGCACATAGAAATGGCTCATCTATACCGATATAGAGGCTGATACACAGAATCACAGTAATCACATCTACTTCTTTAGCCCTGGTGTGTCGCACGGAATAAAGAGGACTCACCTTTGTCTCGGGCTACGGGGCAAGTTGCTTGAAAGAACCAGTAAAAGGTTTGCTCAGGGTTTTGTCTGACAGGAAAGAGATTCACACATCATTTTTAAGATTATCTTGACAGTGTGTTTCAAACCAAAACATTTCCAAATATGTGTTGACACTAACTAGTCAATCTGCCCAACATTTATCATATTAATCAAAACATTATCTCACAAAACCTAGAGGATTTTGTTCTCAGGGAGGTATGAGGTATGCTTTTGAGGAAAAAGGACTGTTACCTTATACATTTACTTAAAACATTTATGAGGAATTTGTAGTAATTTCATACTGCTGTATACTTCTACTCTACTTTTCAGAGGTAAATATTGTACTATTTTTCTCGACTTCATTTAATTGACATCTTTAGTCACTTAGATTTAGATTCTTAATAACAAATATCAATCTACTACAAATGGCGATGTATTATTATTATAGATAACCACCCCCCCAAAAAATAGACAAAATCTGTTCTGTATTTACCAGCTACAACATTAAACAGATAAACACATTAATAATAAATAGAAATAGAATATTTACAATATATTATTCTTATAGGCGAAATTCTTCAAGTTGGATACTTACCTTTGTTACTTTAAGTGTTTTTTGATGCCTATACTTTTGTAGTTTAATTTAAATAACATTTTAAAATGCAATACTTTTACGATAGTCTTTATACACTCCGGTTTTGCTTATTTTACTCATGTAAAGTATACTTCCTCCTCCACTGTGGGATTACTTTACAATTCTAAAAAGTGGCTCATATGCATCAAACACAGATTGCTTTTAAGAAGAAAAGTGTCTACTGTAAAGTGTATGGCAACACATAAAGGGCAAAGAGTTGCTGCAGGAAACTTCCTGTGCAGTTGTGAGAGGAAGTCATGAAAAACCACAAGAACAGACTGACAGGCAGTGATGATGGAAGTCAAGCGAAGAAAGACATGACCACTCACTTCAGTCTGGAGCCCATGCTGTCCCGATGTGTCTGAGTCCATGTGTTTGTCCAGGAGGGCCAATATCTTCAGCAGGAGTCTCAGATGATGGCCATACTTAGGATGTAGCAGTGGTGCAAACGAAGTAGCACACCGGCGGTAGCAGCTCTCTACACAATCAGCGCAATAGAAGTGACAGAACACTTCCTGATCTATGTCAGTGTGTGTTCATGACGTCTGTTATAACCAACCTCTCTAAGCTCTCTCATAGACTTCCATTTCCATCCTTTGATGTTTTTTCACCCTCTGTTTCCTATTAGAGTTGGATACTCATTTTAAAAAGGCAGCCATCAGGTGTAAAGCATGTCTTTACATTATCATATACATCTTCATGAGCGGCTTCAGGAACAATCATGGTACAGTTAGAGTAGACTACAACTTCACACACTGAAATTAATTGGACAATTTACAAAAAATGAAATGTTAGAGGTTCTGATTTCAGACTGGTTTACACAATATGCTTGTATTTCTGTTTTATTTTTTAAGGATATCTCTAACTAACCTTGTATGTATATTTCAATCTTGCTTTTCTATTATTATAGTTGTTGTAGGAGTGTAGTAGTTTGTCTCCTCTATAATGAGTTACCTTATTGTCAAGAGAATTCACTGTGACTTCCTGAATAAATAAAAAAACATATGCATTTTTAGATCTAGCATTTATGAAGTCATTTGGTCGACAGGTTTCATATCCTCATCCTGAGAGGCTTTACACTCGCAGATCTCTTTACTTCCTCCTAGTGGTGTTCAAGCAAAACTGCCTTATCATTAGATAATGCAGGTCTCCATTTTGGTTAACACTGTGCCATCTAGAGTCTAACTTGAAGATTAATTTCACACCTAAAACATTTTTTGATATTCTCTTTTGTCTATTTTAGTCAAAAGGGATCTATTTTGTCAGCAGGACTTTATTAATCTACAGCGTGGGTTTACTTATCTCCTTGTATTTTATGTAAAAATGTATTGAAATCCAAAATGCATTACACAGATGAACATCAAACACTTTTAACAGGAATAAAACATTTATTTCAATCAATGCCAAACTAGACAAGTGATCAAATTGAACATTGAAAGTTGAACAGTTTCATTGAATACTTGGCCCAGTTTGACTGATGCTGATGAAAGAGCATGGACAGAAAGCTACTGACAAAATACCACAAGCACAGCTGTGTTAGCTTCCTCTATGTGAACTATGAGGTCGGGGGGTCACTTTAGCCTTGTGAGTCCTACTCTGAGAGGAGGAAAGAGGAGAGGCAGAGAGAAAAGGGAAGAGAAGGATAACAGGAAAAAGGGAACGGATAGTACTTAGTACTTTGACTCCCTCAGAGGAGTTAAAGTGAATTAATATTTGGACGGTTGGATGGATTTATGACGAGTGCAGTTGAGAAATCGTGGGTTATTTTAGCTTTAGGTTGCCTCTTCTTCTCCCTCCTCCTCAAACTCTCCCTCCTCAGCGGTGGCGTCCTGGTACTGCTGGTACTCGGACACCAAGTCGTTCATGTTGCTCTCAGCCTCGGTGAACTCCATCTCATCCATGCCTTCTCCGGTGTACCAGTGGAGGAAGGCCTTGCGACGGAACATGGCGGTGAACTGCTCGGAGATGCGCTTGAACAGCTCCTGGATGGCAGTGCTGTTCCCGATGAAGGTGGCGGCCATCTTGAGCCCACGGGGTGGGATGTCGCACACGGCTGTCTTGACGTTGTTGGGAATCCATTCAACAAAGTAGCTGCTGTTCTTGTTCTGCACGTTCAGCATCTGCTCGTCCACCTCCTTCATGGACATGCGGCCGCGGAACACGGCAGCAACGGTGAGGTAGCGGCCGTGACGAGGGTCGCAGGCCGCCATCATGTTCTTGGCGTCGAACATCTGCTGTGTGAGTTCGGGCACAGAGAGGGCTCTGTACTGCTGGCTGCCTCTGCTGGTGAGGGGGGCAAAGCCGGGCATGAAGAAGTGCAGACGGGGGAAGGGCACCATGTTGACGGCCAGTTTGCGGAGGTCGGCGTTGAGCTGGCCGGGGAAACGTAGGCAAGTCGTCACCCCGCTCATGGTGGCAGACACCAGGTGGTTGAGGTCTCCGTAAGTGGGTGTGGTGAGTTTGAGGGTGCGGAAGCAGATGTCATAGAGGGCCTCGTTGTCAATGCAGTAAGTCTCGTCTGTATTCTCAACAAGCTGGTGGACAGACAGGGTGGCGTTGTAGGGCTCCACCACTGTGTCTGAAACCTGGAGGCACAAAGCAGAAAGGTCAGGGAGGGGAAAGCCAGAAAAGAGTAAAGAAACCTCCAATAAGCAACACATTCTGTACCTTAGGTGAGGGCACTACACTGAAGGTGTTCATGATACGGTCCGGGTACTCCTCACGGATCTTGCTGATGAGCAGTGTTCCCATACCAGAGCCGGTACCACCGCCTAGGGAGTGTGTGAGCTGGAAACCCTGTAGGCAGTCGCAGCTCTCAGCCTCCTTTCTCACCACATCCATGACTGAGTCCACCAGCTCGGCCCCCTCTGTGTAATGGCCCTTTGCCCAGTTGTTACCAGCTCCACTCTGGCCTATAAAGAGAAGGTTGATCGATCCTTTCAATATTCAGCCATATTCCTCCTGCTAGCAGGTCATCATTTCATTTCAACTTAAAATAGTCATCTTTATGGAAGACAACAACTCTCTCTATAATATGCTTCCAATTAAAATGAGCTATCGTTATGTTCTAACCAACATTATGTGTTTGTGGCTGATCATATACCAAAGACAAAGTTGTCGGGTCTGAAGATCTGTCCGAAGGGGCCGGAGCGGACAGAGTCCATGGTGCCTGGCTCCAGATCCACTAAGATGGCCCTGGGCACGTACTTCCCACCTAGAACACAAATGCATGTGTTACAACAGAAAAGATAGGACTGACTATAAGAACACCAAATCGTTTTTAAGAGTCCTGACCTGAAGCCTCATTATAGTAGACGTTGATCCTGTCCAGCTGCAGGTCACTGTCTCCATGGTAGGTTCCTGTTGGGTCGATGCCATGCTCATCACTGATCACCTCCCAGAACTACAGATCAGGCAATGTGTTGGATTGACAGAAAAACTTGCATGATGCAGTCTGAATTCACTGATATTTTAATAGCTTAAAACATGGTAATGGAATACATGTATATTGCATTTAACAAACCACTGTACTTGTTGAGCCACAATATTTGCTTGACAGGAAATTAATAGACAATTTGATTGAATAATGTCATTTGTAATTGATACACCAAATTATTTATCTATTAAATACCAATGTAGGATTTAGCCTTCTGGGGATGTGGAAATGCAAAATGCCTATGTGTAGAGACAGGATTGATTTGTCTGTTCTGAGCTTCTGAAAACAACATGACGATGCAACATTGCGCACTTGATGAAGAGGAGCCACTATGAAGGGCTTACTCCAAACACATTGATTTATATGTGGTGATTATATGCTATGAATATTACATTACATTTCTGCCAATACGTCAAACTAAATCATTTATTT